GTGCACGGTCACCTGCACAGTACATAGACACGTCACATGTAGTAGCTACTCACCACAATACCACCACTTACCCAGTCAGCTACATGCTGGGGAAGCCCTTCCACCCTTTCCACTTGGTGATGAGAGTGTTCTTCATGCTTTAACACGCTCGCCTCTCACTCTCTGCCTTTTTTCTCGGCCCTGGTCTCATTCTTGCAGTTGCTGCAGCTGCCACATCACCAACTTCATCGTGTCCTGTATCATCCATCCTATGTCCTACTGCCTTGCCGTCTTCGTCTCCACGTCTATTTCGTCTACGCCGTGACATCACCGTCATCCGTCATATGTCACCATGCCAGAAAATAAGACCACATTGAAGAAGAAGCCTGTCAATCAGGCACTGCCCGCAGTAATGCCGCCAGCGCCAGCATCTGCACCCGCATCAAAACCAGCAGCAGCATCATCGCCACCACTGCCAGTATCTGAAGAGAGCCTTGTGAAGCTCATCACTCTCGCCACGTGATCACCGGACTCACCATTAGGCCTCATTTGGGCGCACGCCTTTCGGGAAGAGTCAAGGGATGGATTTCAAAGGGGAACAGAGCTTTTCAAGGACAAGGATGTGAAGCAGGCATTTCGTGATGGTGCAGATGAAGGACAGATAATGGGAATACTGAATGAAAGGATCGTCTGAACCCCAGCACAGGTTCCAGTGTTTTGCATGTGAGATTGCACTGCAAATCCCACGAAAACGTGTTTGCATTTGTATTTCATGACCTGAAGTAACCATTTTGGGTTGATTTTCGGTGTAGAACACATGATATCAGCCACAAACTACAAGTACAAACAGGTTTTCATAAGATTTTGAGTGCAATCTCACATGCAAAGCACTGTCAGATGATCCTTGGTGCACGTCATTGCTTAGTCATCATTTTTAGCGAAAATGAAGATTTGTATGTCACTCTGCCAAATCTGGTCCAAATGATATGGTTTTTTTTTGCAGTATGCACTGCTTACAGCCGATTTCACATCTATGTGGAATTACAAAAAAAAAAGTGGGCCCAAGGACCCTAGAATCAAATGACATAATATCTTCACATGCACAATTTCTAAAGAATACACATCACTTTCGTTTTGCCTCCTAGAACAGCTGTCGCCCCTCCATCCCTACCTTGGTTCACACTCTACAAAGGCTCAATTTCTCTTGAAAATGTGTCTCAATTCATGCCCTCAAGAGAAATGACATCCAGCACGCTGCATTCATGAATACCATTGCCAAAGAAGTTCCACGACCTGATATAATCATGTTTGTGAGGCTGCACGAAATCAAAAGACATCGGGAAGAACACAAGGTTGGGCTTTAGTTGGAAGGAGATGTGTGCAGAGAAGGTTCTTTGTTCGAGGACAGCAGTACATAGATGCTGTACATGTTCTGTTCTCACCACTCGTTTAGCTGACTTCTCAATGTGCGGCATTTCAACAAATATAATGACTGGTTTCCTCCCAGGTGCAAAAAGTATTGTATTCTTGACTAGGTCTTTGTATTCTTCATAGTTAACAACATCAGGGGCATCACTTGGGCGTCACCTTGCCTAGATATCGTATCATACAATAGATTAGGGACAGGAATTGGGAGGCCTTGACGTCCTGCGTTTGTTTCTTGCCTTTGCCAGTGGTTCCAGCTTTGTAGAACATGAGTCGAGCAACAACAGAAAGATTGATTGCATTAGGTTCACTGCTAGCAGGAGTGTCTAGATCTACCATAATGAGGAACTTGGCAGACGTGACTGAGTGCAAACACGATTGTGGATTTGGGGTCCCAGCCTTCAGTTAAAGCTAATAGGTACAAACAGCCTTTTTTTTTTGGGGGGATTCCGCATAGATTTGAAATTGGCTGTAATTGTAGGATCATTCTGAAATGAGGATAAATGTAGGTAAATACAAATAAATAGTCCGAAATGACATGTGTAGTCTCAGGAAACATTGGTTTCTGTATACTGAACTTGAATCCAAATGATATCACATAGTTAAAAACAAATGCAAACAGAACTACCACGCGCAAGGTGAAATTGTTTGCACATGTTGAATGATTAGTAATCCATGTTGGTGAAAATGAAAATTTCTACCTAGCTCTGCCAAATCTGGTCCAAATGATATGGTTTTTTTTGCAGTATGCACTCCCCATTTGTAGGATCATTCTGAAATGAGGCTAAATGTAGGTAAATACAAATAAATAGTGTGAAACCACACCTGTAGTCTCACTAAACTTTGGTTTCTGCATACTGAACTTGAATCCACATGATACCACATGATTAAAAACAAATGCAAACAGATTTACCACACAGGAGGTAAAATTGTTTGCACATGTTGAATGATTAGTAATCTATCTTGGTGGAAATGAGGATTTCTGCGTAGTTCTGCCACTTCTGGTCCAAATGACATGTTTTTTTTGCAGTATGCACTCCTTAATTGTAGGATCATTCTGAAATGAGGATAAATGTAGGTAAATACAAATAAATAGTCAATGACATATGTAGTATATCTGTAAGTTTGGTTTGCAGGTTGAAGTTGAACCCTATGATATCACATGGTGTAAAATAAAGACAAACAGATTTACTGTGCATGCAGTGAAATTGTTTGCACATATTGAATGTTTAGTAATCCATCTTGGTAGAAATCTTTGTTTCTACCTAGCTCTGCCGCTTCTGGTCCAAATGACACAGTTTTTTTTGCAGTATGCACTCCTTAATTATAGGATCATTTGTGCATTTCCAAATATGGTATATAGCCAAGAATGGCTACAAAATAACCAAAAAATCAGAAAAAAATTAGGGGTGGTGCTTCCTGTTGGTGACGACATCAGGGGTTATGGTGCATTTCCAATCTGGTAATATAGCCTAAAATAGCCAGAAGATAGGCAAAAAAATTGGAAAAAAAGGGAGGGTGATGCTCACTGTTGGTGACCACATCAGGGGTCATTTTCAGGGTCTGGGTCCATTTCCAAATGTGGTAATATAGCCTAACATATATAGCCAAAAAATCAGAAAAAAATGGGGGATGGTGCTCATTGCTGGTGATAACATTGGGTAATGTTGTCAGGGTCCAGAGTTGAGTTCCAAATATGGTATTATATCCAAAAATAGCTGGAAAATAGCGGAAAGATTGCAAAAAAAATATGAATGGTGTATAGAACATCAGGCACTGCCTTCAAAGTCCACTTCAGGGTCCATCCTAAAAAGAAAATATCACCTGGTTTGACCAAAAAGTAAAGAAAACCAAGAGGAGAATGATTTTATCTATCAGGGTTCAACAGTTTAACTGTGCATGCAGTGAACCTGTTTGCACATATTGAATGCTTAGTAATCTATTTTGTTTCTACCTAACTCTGCCAATTCTGGTCCAAATGACATGGTTTTTTTTACAGTATGCACTCTTCATTTGTAGAATTATTCTGAAATGAGAATAAATGTAGGTAAATACAAATAAATAGTCTGATATCATTAGCCCATCCCACTTGGCTTTGAATGACCTGGTCTTTTTACAACAGATATATCAAATATATGCTTCTACTATAAAGTAACAAGGGCATTAAACAAATACAAATAAACAATTACAATGAAACATCTTTAACTCCAGCCTTTTGTAGTCTATTGGTAAACTTTATAGTCTATATCCAACTTTGTAGTCCATATTCAAGGTTTGTAGTCTTTTATTGTCTATTGATAAACTTTGTAGTATATGTCCAACTTTTATAATTCTTTGTAGTTAATTAGACAATGTCCACACTGGTGGTGATTACATTAGATAATGTGTTCAGAGTCCAGGGTGGACATCCAAATATGGTAATCTGTCCAAAAATAGTCATAAAATGGCAGAAAAATTAGAGAAAATCAAGGGATGGTGCTGATTATGAGCAATGATGTTGGGTAACAGTTTCAGACTCTAGAGTGGACTTCCAAATATGGCAATGTATCTGTGTATAACCAGAAAATGAGCAAAAAATGAGAAAAACATCAATGTATTTCTCATTAATGGTGATGATGCTGGGGTACTCTGTTTAGGGTTTGGAGCAACATTTAAATAGGGAAATTTAATAGTTTGTGGTAAAGACATAGCTAGAAAATCAGAAAAAAGCAGAAAAAATAAAAATAGGTTACTTCACCTCTGCAAAAAAGGACTCATTTCTGCCATGCTTGCAATGGCCTCTTACACAAGTGTAGGAATGATCTAGATATTTCTCAGTGGTATTGTACTTGTATTTTGATAGACTGAAATACAGGAAGTAGGACATCTTACTTTTTAACCCCAACTTTGACAATCTTAAGTTCTCTGAACTAAGCAGTGTTTCTTGAGTGAATTGATAAGGCTTCGCGCTATCAATTAACTTTGACCAATCATTAAGGCTACACACTAACAATCGCGGTCATCAAGCAACACAATCAATGAATGGTTAAGACTCTCCACATTTCTAGGATATTACTTAGCTATATTCATATCCAACTCTACACTTCTGACTCCACATAAAAGTAGTTACTGACATTTGTATTCATAGGAATACACCAATGTAGAGCCGTGCACTCTAACAGCCAGTTGGCAAATTATACCCCTGAAGCTGGACGACACAAGTGAAGGCCCCGTAAGTGAGAGCGGGTGTGACTGGTTCTGGGACTTTGAGTTGTCAACCCCATGGGAACATGGAATGGACAGAGGCTTTACCATCTCTGAGCACACATGTTCCACATTCAATTTGGATCTTAGACTGGAAAGAGGCGTTGACAAGGAGTAGTTTGTGAGATGGGGAAGAATGGTGGGGCTCAACGTGGCCAAAATGGTGGTCAGGACCGAAAAACCTCACATGCTGACTGGGTAAGTGGTGGTATTGTGGTGAGTAGCTACTACATGTGATGTGTCTATGTACTGTGCACATGACCGCACACTGAAGTAGGGAATCCCTATTCCATCTGCCCCCTTCCCATAAGGTGACGTCCCCGTCACCAGCTGCTGAAAAAGAAGAAGAAATCTAAGAGGACTAGAAAAATGTAGAGTAGAAATCCAGAATCAAACAAAGCAATGAAAGAAAAAGATGTGATGGACACAGTAGGAACATAAACTTGAAGAAAGATCAGTGACGAACCCAACCAAGTGCCTTCAAAGCTTGACTCAAATCCAAGAGGCGTGGATCGGATTCCGAATCGAGTGTAGGAATCTTCAATGGGGTTGATGGCAATGGCAGTGTGGTGGGGTTCGAGACTGGAAAGAGGCGTTGACAAGGAGTAGTTTGTGAGATGGGGAAGAATGGTGGGGCTCAACGTGGCCAAAATGGTGGTCAGGACCGAAAAACCTCACATTTTTCCAAAGGCAATTGGGAATGGCTATTCCGATGGGCTAATGAGCTGAAGGGGTTGGGGTTGGTGGTGTGGAGGGCAGAAAGGTCACGGCAAGGTTGGTTTTTAGGGAATATGGGGACGATAGGTATGGAGGTGGTGTCGTCAGACCAATCGAAGGCTGGGGGATCCAAGGTAGGAGCAGTGGTGGCAGCGGGGGGCAAATCCATAAGCTGGGCTTGAGCTTCAACATTGACAAGAAGAGGTGGAGTGGTCTGGGATGAGGAAGTGTGATGGGAGGGGGAAACCTGAATAGCAGCATCAAGAGAAGGTGGGCGAGCCTCAACAGAATCAACCTGAACCATGGCGTTGAGCTTGTTGGCAGTGCAGGTATGTCCCTCAGGAAGTCCTATGTTGCAAGAGAAGCAATCTGTTTTCGTGTCGAAACACCACAAGCCGTGGCCTGCTGCCTCCCATTCCTTCCTCTCATTCAGTATTCCCATTATCTGTCCTTCATCTGCACCATCACGAAATGCCTGCTTCACATCCTTGTCCTTGAAAAGCTCTGTTCCCCTTTGAAATCCATCCCTTGACTCTTCCCGAAAGGCGTGCGCCCAAATGAGGCCTAATGGTGAGTCCGGTGATCACGTGGCGAGAGTGATGAGCTTCACAAGGCTCTCTTCAGATACTGGCAGTGGTGGCGATGATGCTGCTGCTGGTTTTGATGCGGGTGCAGATGCTGGCGCTGGCGGCATTACTGCGGGCAGTGCCTGATTGACAGGCTTCTTCTTCAATGTGGTCTTATTTTCTGGCATGGTGACATATGACGGATGACGGTGATGTCACGGCGTAGACGAAATAGACGTGGAGACGAAGACGGCAAGGCAGTAGGACATAGGATGGATGATACAGGACACGATGAAGTTGGTGATGTGGCAGCTGCAGCAACTGCAAGAATGAGACCAGGGCCGAGAAAAAAGGCAGAGAGTGAGAGGCGAGCGTGTTAAAGCATGAAGAACACTCTCATCACCAAGTGGAAAGGGTGGAAGGGCTTCCCCAGCATGTAGCTGACTGGGTAAGTGGTGGTATTGTGGTGAGTAGCTACTACATGTGACGTGTCTATGTACTGTGCAGGTGACCGTGCACTGGAGTAGGGAATCCCTATTCCACTGTACTCTGTGTCCTGCATAACTATGTCCTTGTTGTCTGTAATGCTCGAACCAGTGTACTTGCTGGATGAGTCACTGAAGGTGGAGCTGTAGGCTGAGGGGAGAACATATGATGCAGAGTTGGAAGGCTCTATAATTTTCATGAGTTGTAAGAAAATTGTTTGTAAAATTGAATGTGTACCCTTGCCGGGTCCTTTAGTGAGATAATGGTCTGGAAAGCTTAGTCCCAGAGTGCCACAGTAAGGTGTGTCCCAGTTCCAGCCTGAATAAGCACCTAAATAATCTTCCTTGATGTGTGCGGTATGGATCCACTGTACGGCCTGTCTTCCCATGCTCTGGAAATTGACATACCATGCTTCAATATTTTCTCACAATATGTAACCGTAGAGCAGGTTCATGCAATCAGAGTCCAGAGTTGTCAAGATGGTTGGGTGTTGCATTGTGATGTGATCGAATTGGAACTCCAGGATATATGCACATAATGAAATGGGTAAGGAAGGATTGATGGGGATGGAGTGTATAGCTGCAAACATTATGATTCGTGCAACCCGACATAATGGCCACCACAATGAGGAACCAGTGGCCAGGTTGAGAGCATACAAAAGTTGTCTGTCAGGAAGGGTAAGGGAAATAAAATTGTCTGCTGTGAGTTAATAATTGAAAGGATGAATGTTGTCAGTGATGGTATTGATGGATTGGAAAGGGGTAAGATGAAGGTTGGGGAATGAAGGCATATAGGTTTCAATGGTCTGCATGATAAGAAAAGAGATGAGAGTGTTTTTGATTGAAAAATTGTTTAGATAGTTACACAAGGTCGACGTGTGGTTTAAATAAAATTTCTGTCCATTCATTTTACCTGTTTTAGTTTCTTGGATTGAGATGCCTTATTGTTAATCCACTCTGTTAACATGACTGGTGCATTTTTCAAATTCTGCCTTGGTTCCCAAGTGTCAGCTTCTGGACCGTACCCCATATAGCATACATGATAGATGGGTATATGCTTACTGTTCCTGCCTTTGTGCCACGACTCGGCCACGATGCCTTCCACCTGATATTCAGGTAGTTCTTCAAAATTCATTTGTCTCATTTTAATCTTGGGTCTCTCTCCAAAATTTTCAGGAGATTCTTGGTATTTTTCTAAGTGTTCTATATTGAGTATGGGATGCATTCCAAATGACACAGGCATATGAAGATGATAGGAAACCAGACTCAGCTTTTGAATTATTTCAAATGGTCCATCAATAGTTTGTCTCCCTGCCCCTTCTCGTCTCTGAGAAGACCTAGGTTTTTCTGGTTGATAATGACGTGATCACCCTCCTGAAACTCCCAAGTTAGTCTGTCCTTATTGTATGTCTTTTTCTGGAAAATCTGACCCAAGAGTAGGGCATCCTGTGCCTTCTTTCGCTCAGCCTCAAAACATTCCACCATGTGCAGTGCTTTCTCGTCAAGTACTTCCACGTGGTCCTCATGTACATCATTTCTTCCTATAGGTTGAGGGCTCGTCAGCAAGGTCGACCCAGTAATAGGATGGTATCCTCTTAACAAATAAGCAGGTGTAAATCCTGTGGCCATATGTAGTGAGCTGTTGTAGGAAAGTGCAAGAATGTCCAATAGATTGCTCCAGTTATCGCGTTCAGGGTTGATATAGGCTCAGATTGAGATTTCCAAACCCTGATTCATTACTTCTGTCTGTCTGTCTGCTTGTGGAGCAGGTGCAACTGGTTCTGGGACTTTGAGTTGTCAACCCCATGGGAACATGGAATGGACAGAGGCTTTACCATCTCTGAGCACACATGTTCCACATTCAATTTGGATCTTGCCAACTGGTCCTCACTTATTGACGAAATCGCCACAAATCATCCATTTCCACAGAACTCTGCCTGCCCTTCCCCTTACGACTGAGATGCCATTAATTGGAAGTTTTCTGACTGTGCTGAGCTTCAAGGTGCTGAGGGCCTTGCCATGAGGATGGCAATTGATTATCTAGATTTCATTGCCTGGTGGACAGCATCCATTTCTAGGTGGGAGGCCGATCTTGACCCACAAGTCACTGATCAGATCAAAGGTCTACATCTCAGTCAATTCTGGAAACAAGGTGTCTTAGTGGATCTAGAACAATGCTGGTAGGAGGTTAACATTCCGAATCTGCTGTCAAATGGACACTAGTGCCTACCACTTTTATGATAAAACATAGGCAGTTGCTGTTAGGATCCATCCTATTCCTTGGATAGGGCGCGAGATGAGGTAGAGGTCGACGTAGATACCACTGGTAGTTACTAGACTGGAATAGGGACGAGGTCTGTAATCGAGTTGTTGTATGGAGTTAGGTCTGAAGCATAAGTGTACAGAGCTAAGTCCAAGAAGCTGGGAGGCACAGAGTTGAGTTCCAGGACAGGAGGAATGGAGTTAAGTCAGTCAGAGATGAAGGTAGCATGGGCTTGGAGTTGGAGACTCGAGAATACGCAAAGTGAAGTGAACACTAAGTGAAATGTTAGTGTATCGGAGTTACACGATAACTCAGTGTAAGGTGGATTTGGCATCGGAGTTGAAGTCCGAGGCAAGTTAGTAGAGATAATGCAGATGAGAGGCTGAGATGAGAGGACGAAGGAACAAGACAGAAGTTAACTTTAATATCAAGGATGAGGGTACTTGGTACATGCGAGGAGTATTTATATGAGTCAAAGAGAATAAGGTCTGTGAAAAAGGAAAAGAGGTTGGTAACTCCAGTACAAAGTAGAACAATAGAGAGAACAAGGGCCATAAGGGAAGTATCATGGAGGCAGAGATGATATGTGAGGAAGCGTGGAGTTGGAGTTGAGGTTTATTGTGAAGAGGGTTTTTGCCAAGGCAGAGGACAGGAGACTTGGCAGAACAAGAACAATAAGCGCCTTGTTCTATTCGGAGTTGTCGTGCTTGGAGTTGGATACACATGTTCGGCATTGGTTTACCAGAGTACAAGGTCAGAGTTGTTTTGGTGTTGGAGTCCGAGAAGTGAGTTATGGGGTGGTTAGTCATGTGAGGTTGTAGGTCACGAGGATGGTTCGTGACAGTTGCCTGCAAAGTCTTTTCAATCCCCCTAAATGAAATGCCTAGGCAATTTCATTCTTTCTTGACAGCTATTTCATTGCTACCCACCACATTTTTCATTTCTCCTTGGCAATGAAATACATTTCATTCTTTTGCTTGTGCTTTTTCATTACTTTTTCATTCTTTGCCAACTTGATTTTATTTCTACCTACTGCATTTTTCATTCTCTGCCAGTATCATTTCATTCTTTTGCCTGCACTTTTTCATAACTTTTTTCATTAAGTTTGGGAGATCACTGAATATTCTCAGAGGTATTCAAATATTCATTGACCCTTGTTCTTGAACTCTACTCCCTTCAGGATTTCCTAAGGAAGAACAGAGATTATGCGACGGATATCCAAAGCATCAGCAATCTCTGCTAACAGTTCGTGAGCTGAAAACTGAGTCATACGGAAGTACAACTAGTCCTCACACCATAGTAATAGATTCCCTCATTCACCAGACTTCCCATCGTTGCTTGACCACCCACTCCTATCATTACCTCACAGGACACCTATTCCACTAGTTTGAATTTCACTTGATGGTTTAAATTCCAGTCACTTATATTTGTACCAGTGAATTTATGGTTTGTATTCATAATCTTTACCATATTTTATAAACAGAAAGAACTCATTAAAACAATATAGTATTTGATACTGGTAATGTATCTACACATGTTGAAAAAAGAATCAAGTCAGCGTGTTGCTTTGTCGTGCTGCATGTCAAAGATGAAGAGACAGTGCATCGGACAAACAAAGGTCCATCTCCTCCTCCCCCATTTCCACTTCTGCCTCTTTGCAGACTTCTTCATTTTTCATCAAGGGTCTAGCTCTAGACCTAATTCATTCTTCCTTCTACCCCCATTCATCCCTTGATTCAAGAATTTTTTTTCTGTGTCTCATTCCTTGTTCCAGGTCCCTGCACTGAATTCAGAATCCACAGAAAGTGCCAGCACCTCATGGGCTCTTTCTGCAAAGTTTCCACATCAGAAATTAGCACCATCAAGGGTCCTACTTGACAGGCCAAATGTGTTTCACCCAGCACTTTTGTGCAATCTTTGTGGTGAATCTCCATTTGAAGGTGGGTAGGAGGCTGTCCTCCATTTTCTACTATTCAATTGTTCACTTTTGTCTATTTCCCTATCAGATATTCTTTTGGGGGTATTACTTCAGAATAATAGATGGCCATGGAATTTTTTATCTTGTAGCATTTCCATCTCTTTGCACAGTGCGATTCCGAACATTGTAATTCTTTGTTAGTATGCACACTGAATCACTTTCCCATTTAGAAGATACACTGTTACATCTTCATTTCTACCAATTCACATACCAAGAAAAATAATATACTTACTTACTACCATCATCGAATAAAATGGATAATGGAGGGGTGAAGGTACAGCAAATAGTGCATGGCATGTGTCTCCAATCAATGATTTCCGAACTTGCCAACACAATTCATTTCAATTGCATCCGTCAAAAAATGTTCCATTCCCTGACAGGTACGTACTATTCCGGATATGCCTGTACAGCCCTTTCCAGATCTATATAAGCTGGGCAGTTAAGGTCCATTCATATTTAATTCAACATAATGCATTTACTGACGAACGCCATTCCAGTAACTGTAAATTAAGTCTATCAAAAGTCAGAGGTCCATATCTGCTTATCCAGCAAGAATACACAGGTACTCACCACTTTTCCCTGCCAGGCAGCGTAACAACCCCCAGAAGTCCCATCCATCAGTAAGTGTCTTAAGCATTCTAATCTTTTGTCAACTTACCTCTTGCACGCACAGACCACATCTTTGCAAGTGGTCTACAGTGTCCGCGCCACGCATTCGGATGACTGACTGCCAAACGAAGGTCAGTACACACTATGCTATGGTAATCAAAATACGCACTTACACCTTGTTTTTCGAAGGTTTGCGCCTGGTTTTATTGAGGTTTCAGCCCCACGGCGAGTGGACCCCCCAGCTATTAGTTTGAGGCCGTGCTGTGCCCAATGTCGTATGCATGCATTCTTGCCCGTCGCCATTTACGGCAAGTGCTCGAGGTGCGTAGTACCTCGAGCACACTAAATCATGGGAAGCACACATTTACGTTGCATTAGTCGACGCCTGCCACTCAAACTGTGCTTTTTGAAGATTTAATTTGTGGCCATTTTTTCCGATGTCTCGGCCCCGCGGCGAGCGGATCTGTTGGCTCTACAGCGCTCGTCGTTGTTTAGGGTGGCCGCAAGGGGTGCATAGCACCCCGAACATTTGTAAAACTGATTGAAGACAGTTAGTACGCGCTCAGATTTTTGTAGTTGGAGGGTTTATACTTATGCTCATTTTTTGAAGGAAATCCCGCCCATTTTCCCAATGTTTTGGACACGTGAGAGCGGATAGGGAAGCTTGCTGTGTCTAGATGCTGGTGAGAGATCCATGTATAGCATGCGATCGGTATTGTGTGGGATGAACGAAATAAAATAAGTACTCACTTTATCTCTCACAACCCTATCCCACTCGTAAACGCGAAGCGCTCGCTGTCCATAGTGTATACCCGTCCTCAGGCGACGTTGGTTTTCGTGATTCCGTCCTTTCTAGCATTCAGGCGTCAATTTTGGCTGTTGCACCTTCACGTATGTTTTATTGTTGTGTTGTTCGTCTTCAGGCATGTCGTTACGATTTTTTGTACATAGCAGAATGAAATCTTACTTCCTGGCCCTCCGTGGTTTCCTTTGATGTTGTATACATCGGACACATGTATACGATGCCTCATCGTTCCAGCTGCCACAAACATTGACGTATTCTCTTGATGTTCCTCGTGCCATTGGCCCGACTTATCGTCGTCGGGTATGTAAGTTCTGCAAAGGTATTTCACTAATATTTCGTTTGACGTCAACATCTTGACTTACAATCTTCACGTAGGTGTTCAATCCCGTCTTTGGAAGTATTGCGAAACATTGAAGTCTAATCTACGAAGGTATGTTAGTGTCAGAATAACCTACAGAGTCAAACTGACATACCTCGTCGTTTAACGCGTCCTGGTTCCGTTTATCCGTCCATAGTGAGTGCAAGACGTTGCTTTTACTCGTTTCCAACATCGAGACGACGTATTTCCATCCGCAGAACCGGTGCATACAGTCCAGAACGCTCCACACATGCTTTGAAATGACCACGGTTCGTCAATGTTGTGCATGACATCCTATACGATGTAAGTACTCACTTTTCGTTGCCTTTCCACAGCTCATGACCTCTCCCAACTTCTCCATGCGAAACACCGCCTTTCCGTAGCATATCCATCTGCTCCCCGTACTCCCATGCCCTCCTGGCGGCGTGTACGCGTTAGATTTCAATGTCGAGTCTTCGTTTACGCAGTATCATCTTCTCATGTACCGTTTCGGTTCGTAGTAGGTAGTACAACGAACAATATGGACTTCGATTAGGTGAAAACACGTGTAAAGGATAATTGGGTACTCACATAGCGAGAAACTGTCAACACATCGACGATGCGCTTGAAAACGAGCACAGGCGTTAGTATTGTGCAGCAGGAACAAAGGAAGGTAAGAACTCACCTTCTCCCATCCCTCATGACCCTATCGCAGCTCGTAAATGCGACATGCCGCCTCTCCGTATATCCATCTGTTCCCTGCACTCCCGCACCCTTCCAACAATGTTTATGCGTGGGCCTTGGTGTGAGCGTTATTGTTATCTTGTTCATCTTCTTGCGATCGTTTACCTGGTATCGTCTTCTCGCGTATTCTTTAGGCTCGTAGTAGGTCTCGGAGTGAATGTTCTCCATCATAATTTGGAGTCCACCTCGAGACGATGTATCTCTATCCGAAAAACTGGTGCATGCAGCCAGAATGCTCCATGCGGGTGCCGAGTGCTTGGAAATGATCACAGCCGTCAGTATTGTGCAGGATGAACAAAGCAATGTGAGTACTTACCTTTGGTTCACAACCCACATTCCAGCTTGTAAACACGAAACACCAGCTGCTGTCCGTAGCATATACGTTTGTTTCTCACAATTCCGTGTCCTTCTGATGGTGCTTATGCGTTAGATCGCATGTCGACTCTCCGTTTATGTGTTTTCGTCGTCTTGTGCTTCCTTTTGCGTGTTGGTATAATCCCCTGTACGTAGTAGAACGAAATCTATGACTTTTGTTAGCAGAAAACAATAGTGTGCTACTGACTGTCATGTGTGGGCGCATTCCCGTCTCCATTGAGCTTTGTAACGTTGAGGAATAGAGTCCGAGTTCGTCGTTGTATGCTTTGACGACGCCGTGGATGGAGCAAGTGGTGTCAACAGCAAATAACCTTATTAAGCAAGTGTTAGATCTGAAGATACTGCTATATTAAGAAGTTTCTTCACCTCGTGGTATTAACATATCTTCCACATATTTGCTGTGCATGTATGGACTTGCCTTTTGTAGAAATTTCCTCTCCAATATCTTCAACGTTTATCCACCCCAGGATATTCTTAATAATTCCGACAGAAAAAAATCGATAAAATGAGATAAAAGATTTTAAATATCTTCCAAGTAATTCCGGCAGTTTAAAGGGAGCATTATTATTAATATCTTCCGCATTTTTCCACATTATACCCAGTATATATATAAGCCAAGGCCTGCAGTGTCATGGCAAAGTACGTGTTTGATGGTCTCAGTATCTTTGACATGGCAGAACCGTACTTTCATCCCATGTTGCTGTGCCCCACCACCCCCTCTCCATAGTGCGTTTGTGATGTGTTACAGTCAGTTCGTTCGCACCCTGTGTCTGAAGTGTGCCATGTCTGTTGCAGATGAGATGGTCGAGATCAGTCAAGCTCATCCTGGGTCGCGATGAGTTTTTGTTGCTGGTTGGAGAACCTGCCAGTGACCCCTCCAGGGAGGTTTTAGTCGTGTACCCTACCGTGTCTGGTCAGGGATAGTTCTTGGCTGGTCAGTCAGCTGATCACAATGGTAACAGTGTGGTGTGCTCCGTAGCATAGTTGTGTTTAGACACTACAACTTTGTATTGGGAACCAGTTGTTCCTTATTGGGACCTCTACCTCCCTCGGTCAGCCAAGCTGAAATTGTGTGTCAAGAAAGGTCAGGAATTGTTGTTGTTGCTCACCAATACCCTGGTCGAAGCGAGATCTAGATTTGCACAATATACAGCCACCTTGTTCAATATCATAGGGGCAGGCCCCTGCTGCACATTGTACCTGCTACCCCTATCACTGGAGGCTATCCTCCGCCACCCCCTTGTCAGCACTGAGCAGTACCTGAGAATCAAGGCATCCATATCCAATGACAACATCAGCATCACGAACAGCTCCTTCAGCAAGGCCAACACTTGCATCATCAATGGGCGCAGGAGGCCAAACACCAGCAAAGAGTTCAAGTCATAGCCAGCAAGAGGTAGAAAGACAGCAGAGGTTACAGGAAGCGGAGCACCATCACATGCAGGAGAAGCAGTGCTTTCAAGAGTTGGAGCATCAGCACTGGCATTCCCAAGAGTAATAGCAGATGCCGCACGAGTTGAAACACCAGCATGTACAGGAATTAGAGCATCGCCATCAACGATCCCTCAAACAGGAGTGTCAAATACATATGCAGGAAGAGCCTTAACGTCATTCTCAAGAGATGGAACACCATCAACTACTTTGGCAGGAGGAGCTAATATGTCCTGTTGTCCCTCTTGAGCCGAGAATGATAGAGATTTCACCTCATATCCAACCAGCTCCTCGAAAGTCGGATCCTGTCCAGACAAACCTACATGGTTATTCTATTATCATTGGATTATATTCTGTCACTCATTTGCACAACAACTTAATCACAATTGTGCAAGGCATGCTCCCGAGTCTGAGGGCTTGAAAAAAGTTGTGATTTGGCTAAGAATATGATTAAAAGTCGAAATTTCATCAGCTTCCTCCTCTGCCCAATGGGATGAAACCTTAGTGAGAGAAGCACACTAAGTATTTTTCTGATGTAATTATTCCTAGGGGGCCAAAAATTCCAATAGCCAACCATCTTTTAGTAGCTCTTGGGCACTCGGTTGCAGCTTCGGATCTAATGTCAAACATTTGCGCAAGAATGCAGCAGTGCCTAGAATCTCGCTCTCATTAAGGACTTCAAAGCCTTGCAAAATGTCTTTGAGGGTGGATGGCGCAAAATTGCTGTTTGTGTGAAGAAGTGTGCCTAAGTGAAGAAAGTCACTAATCGTTGATGATTAGATGAGGTTGCACTCACCTTTCTCATCAAAGTATTTCCCCCAATCCTCACAATGTTCGAGGAATTCAAGTGGGAATGGCCCTAAACACTGTACCATGTGCTGCAAATGGAGTTCATGCGAGTAATTATCAGCATCCTGGGGGAGAAGAGCAATACTTTATCATCCCCCACATAATCCACATGGACTCCACTGGATTCCACTGGACTGGACTGGACTGGACTGCCAATCACAAAACTGGACTCCACTGGACTCTCCCAACACAGAACTGGACTGGACTGGACTGCAAGCACAAAACTGGACTGGACTGGACTGGACTGAACTTAGATTTCAAAAGAAAAAAGAAAATTTATTAATTAAATACATTACTTTTACTGAGAGGGAAAGAAAGGGGGGAGGGAAAGAAAGGGGGGAGGGAGTAGTGATCAGGAAGGGGGGAGGGAGGAGGGGGAAGAGAGGAATGGAGGGGGGGAGAGCAAGGAAGGGGGGAGGGAGTGAAGGGGGGAGAGAGTGGAGGGGAGAGGTGGTGGTGTTGGGCCCTCGTTGCCGTTCCGCATTGGTGGTTTTTTGTGGGCGCGTGTTGTTTTGGGTGGGCACTTGTTGTTTTTTGTGGGCACATGTCGTTTTTTGTGGGCACTCGTGGTTTTTCGTGTGTGGTGGGGGTGGGTACTCGTGTGGACGCATCATCGTGTTGTGTCGTCATCCTGGTGTGTCGCGTCATCATCCTGGTGTGTCATGTCATTGTCCTGGCATGTCGTTGACACATCATTGTCGTGTCAGTGGGCGGTGGTGGGTCATGGTGGTGGGCGCTCGTCGTCGTTCATGGGTGGTGGGGGTGGGTGGGTGCTTGTCATGGTTCGTTGACACTGGTGGGTGCTCGTCATTTGCCGTGACGTGGGTTGCCGTTGTGTGGGGTCATTGGTGCCTGTCGTGGTGAGAACGGAGGGATGGGGTGGGGCACACGTACCATTGGCCCATGATGTGGCAACGTCATGGGCGCTGTCCCTCGTTCTGTGTTCTCTTGTTGTCATGTTTCGTGTGCATTGGTAGAGGTTGTCGGCATGGGCATTGTTGGCTTCGCGGGTTGTTGAGGTGACGTGGCAGTGAGGGGGTGGTCGACGTTGTGAGCGTCAGTGGTGGTGGTGGTGGAAGGGAAAGGGAAAGGGATGGTCACGGAAGTGTGACCATCCCACAAACAGCAAACATGACGATATGGCACGCCCTCAAGTAAGTCACATGCAACCTTCACCCTGCCGACTGAACAAAATGATTAATTCTTATTGCAGCTAGTCCTTACCACTACTAATATATAAATCATTAGCCTTGTGATTCTGTCTATAAATTCAAGTCTACCTTATTAATTCTGAAGTCTTTTTTTGTAGTATTATAATTAACATCAATAAGTAATAAGTAATGGTGCACTGGACTCCAGTGATCCAGTGGACTATGACTGGACTGGACTGGACTGGACTTGAGACCAGTGGACTGGGCATTGTGCAAGCCAATCTGGCCTAGCAACTGGGCCACTGGAATCCACTGGAATCCACATGGATTACGTGGGGGATGGTAAAGACCTCAACTTTTCAGTCGACTTCAATCTTCACTTCAGGTGGTATATTTTGACACCCTTTTAACAGGTGGGACTTGAGCATGTTCACCTTTCCTACCATAGGTTTCACAGCCAGGTATGCTGAACCTGCTGAGGAATACAGAGTGATTAGAACTGTTTCCCAGGTAAGAATTAACCTTGCACCATCTTTGATTAACTCATCTTCTGTGCATACAAACTGGCATTCTCCCCTTGCACAAGCTTCGTGATCTGCCACTTGCTTGGCTCAGATGTACACGCCGATGCAATATTTGCACCACACATTGAGATGTGTGTGGTTATTCTGGAAATGCGTCCTGTTTCCATAGAAGTGGTTCCAGAGATGTGACTTTTGGGGCATAGCAACTTGAAAATTTCGGCACTCATGCCCTCTCACTTTTTAGCTATAATGTTCTAGGTACCCATTTAAAGTCGAATGTCGTTGCCCACTTGTCCCTACTACATTCCAATCTATTCCCCCTAGCCTAGTTATATTATGTCATCATAGCCGTTCAATGTGACCTTGACCCACTTGACCTTTCTTGACCCACTTGACTAGTGTTTAAAGGTTCAGTCCATAGGACCGCAAAAAACCGGTGGACCGAACTGAACCGGACCATGGTCCGGTCTTTTTTTCGGTTGCAGTTGCCCCAATTTGGGGTTGGTCCGGTTGCCGGTTGCCTCATTTCGAAAATATATTAAAACCGTTCAAAGACCGGTTTTGATCGGTTGCAACCGGTTAAACTGTCACGTGCGTTACATACCCTTGTAACCACGTTTATTACCTTTTATTGGGTTTTTGTTTCATCAAAAACGGTTAAGAATTGAGAAAGATATAACCAAATCCATATTTTACCCGAGTCTCTACGAGATGTAATTCGGTTTCAGTCATAGCTATGTCAAATCTTCATTAAATCTCTTCAAAATTGGTAGAATGACGGGTATTTACATGCTTTACTATTTCATATAACCCGTTTATTTTTCAGAGTAATAATAGTCAAGATACAAATGGTTTATATTGGTATAATAAATTATACGCAAAAAAACCGGCCTGGATCGGTCTGAACCGGCTCCATAGACCGAAATAGACCGGTCCTAGGTGGTTCGGTTCGGTTCCCTCAATATCTGGGTTGGTCCTAGACCGGTTGCGGTCCACGGTTGTGCGTTTTGGGGGCAAAAAACCGGACTGAACTGAACTTGCGAACACTACACTTGACCTTTCTTGACTGACCGGTCAATTCTTGACTGACCCTTTGACTTGACCTTTATTTTGACAGGGTCAACCGGGTCAAGACAACACTGATGGGGATGAGGTAGAAGGATTAATATGATCTTACTTACATATTGCCATTGCTGCAGAATTAGTTTTTGACATTATGCACAAGCAGTCTTTCACATTAGGAAAGGCTACTCTATGCCTTCATACTGATAGCTACTCTTCTGTCCTATCTCAAAACATAGTTATAAGGTCATGGGGATATGGCTGAAGAATTGACATGACCTCACACATTGCAATTGCCACATCATCACTTTTTCACATCATGCCCAAGTTGGCTTTCAAGCCAGAGGAGGCCATTCATATGTGAAAGCAGAGAATAGCCTGTCCTGATGTGAAAGGCAACTTGGTCATGATGTCAAAAGTGGTGATGTGGCAATAGCAATGTGTAAAATCATGTCAATCCTTCATCCATATCCTCACATGAACTTATAATAATTATGTTTTGAGATAGGACAGTAGGTATCAATATGAAGGCATAGGATAGCCTTTTCTAAGGTAAAAGACAACTTGTGCATGATGTCAAAAATGAACACAGCAGCACTGGCAATATGTAAGTAAGATCATGTTAATCCTTCAACCTCATCCCCATGACCTGGACAGAGCCAAGGACACCATGAACTAAATGTCAACTACAAACTTTTGCAGTACTTATCAGTCCCCCCACAGAATCCTGCAGGACTCACAGGATTCCTGAGGATTCCTGCAGGACTACACCATAATTTTGGCAAATTTGAGTTTTAGGAGAAAAATTCTGTCAAGTCCTCAGGATTCCTCAGGACTACATGACATTTAAACACTTCCTCTAACTTCCTTAATGAACTTAACACTATTTCCATCCTTAAAGCATTCAGATATCAATACATAGTAGAATTTAATTATATTTTAAATGGTATCAAAAT